AGTTGCTTTTGAAGAGAATATTAAAGAAAAATACTCTCATATTTCAGCTGTGATATTTAATGGTTCTAAGGAAACGATGTATTCAATCACATTCATAGCTACAGGTAAATGGAATTGCATTATGGATTGTTAGCTGCCTGCTTTCCTCTACTAGCACGATCCAAACAGAATCGCTTTATTAATTTTCTTAAAGAATGAAACAGTTTGATGGTATATTTTTATTTTTTTTAACATCTATTGCTTTTACCAGGTTGCAGTTGGTCAAGAAATTTGTGTGATTGAAGCGATGAAAATGCAGAACAGTTTGTCTGCTGGTAAAACTGGCAAGGTATGTCTTAGTTACACTCTTATAATCCTTGACAGGTTGAACATAGCCCTATTGAAAGAAAGAAAGGATTACTCAGAAAATCTGGCATTACAGGGTATTATACTGAGACTTTAGTGGTATACCAGGACTTAGACTACCAAAATGTTTAATATCACAATTTAATAGCAACAGCGTTGTTCCCGGAGTGTTCCAGCTGGGTGACCTTGAGCCAATCACTCTCTCTCAGGCCCAATCCATTGCATGGGGTGGTGGTTGTAGGGAAAACAGGACTAGGAAATTGTGTTGGATATGTTCACTGCCTCAAGCTATTTGTAAAAACAATCAAGGTGAGATACAAATAAACAAAATAATAAAAATAAAATATAAACCACTACAGGCAGACCTCGACGTATGACCACAACTGAGCCCAAACTTTGTGTTGCTAAGCAAGGCAATTGTTAAATGAGTTTTGCCATGTTATGACCTTTTTTTACTACAGTTGTTAAGTAAATTACTGCAGTTGTTAATGAATTCTGTGGTCACTGAGTGAATCTGGCTTCCCCCGTCAAATTTGCTTATCGAAAGACAGCTGGGAAGGCTGCAAATGGTGATCGCAGGGCCCCGGGAGGGGGCAGCTGCCCTAAGTACATCCCAGTTGCCAAATGGCCAATTTTGATCAAGGGACCACAGAGAGGCGGCCACGATCGTTAAGTGAGAAAAAAGGTCACTTTTTTCAATGCCGTGGTAACTGAACGGTCACTAAACAAATGCTTGGAAATCGAGGACTTAACTGTGTTACATGCGAGATTCTAGATAAGCTTTTTCCAGCCTTCATTTTGGTCGTGCCCCATTATGTCCCAAAAAGTGTGTCTTGGTCTATCTTTTGCAAAGCCAAACTTTTATGTATTCTGCACATGGGAAAACGTGTGCATTCCTAGAACTGGAATGAGGTCCTTCCTTGCTTGCTACAACTGGACTAGCATATTTTGTTTGTGCTAGACTTATGTCCTGACTTTTCTTCATAACCTCAGCAAACATTTCCATGTTCATTCAGAACATTAAAAGGAATGTTTAGGATTGTAAGGTACGCAGCGATGTAAATTGATCTAATTAATAAATAATAAAGATAGCAGAATTATGGAATCTCAGATACTGCCGTGAGTTTAGAAAAGCCACAACTGAAACCAAGAAAAGGTGGAAACGGCCATATGGGCTACCCCATAGAGCTTCTTGCATCCTTCTTTCTACAGAATGGTAGAACAGATCAGAAAATTATATATAGTGTTAAAGACTATATAGTCATGTATTGAATGCAGTGTTTGGGTAAAAATGAAAACATGCAAAGTGTACAGAACTTGTTTAAAGTTCTTCCAAAAGACACTTTTTTTTAGGTATCAATAATTTCATGTTTGTTTATATATTTGATATGGAGTTGACTATGTATGAGCTTAGGAGCATATAACCCAGTGACGGCGAACCTTTTAGAGACTGAGTGCCCAAACTGCAACCCCAAACCCACTTCTGCATCGTCAGGTGCCGGGTGGGTGTGGCCCATTGGCTGGGTGTGGCCCATTGGCTGGGTGTGGCCCATTGGCTGGGTGTGGCCAATTGGGGGCATGACCCATTGGGTGGGTGTGGCTGCGGTGGTAACAGCAGACTGGGTGGGACTAAAAAGTTCAATCAATTAATTCCAACTTTGCAAGATCTTTTTTTTCCTGCGAGAAGTTGAAATTGATTGATTGAACTTTTTTTCTTTGCACATGGCAGCAGAGGCCTAAAACGAAAAGGTTTTATAAAACCCAGCTGAAGGCCTAGGACTGGGGCAACGGCGCGCATGCCCACAGAGAGGGCTCTGAGTGCCGCCTCTGGCGCCTGTGCCATAGGTTCGCCACCACTGGGCGAACCCACTTTGTGCAGGGTAATGCCATGAGCGATGCAACCCTCCAAATCTATTCCTTGAGAATCTGAGACTATCACTTCTTCAAAAATATACACATCAACCCCTTCAAGGGGCTTCATACATACATACATACATACACTTTCCCCCACCACACATACTTATATACAAAAGATACTTTGGCTAGGAAGGGTAATTGGGCAAAGCCGCTCCAATCATTGGCAGAGTCTATTCTCTAGGTATAACTAATTGCAATTTAGAAATAAAAATGTGTTTAGAACCAATGTATATATTTTTTTTGTGTTGCAGGTGAAAGCAGTATACTGCAAAATTGGTGATACTGTTGCGGAAGGAGATAAACTTGTGGAATTGGAATAAATAATTTCTTTCTAAACTTATCACAGTCGGAGTTGCCTATTTTATGGTCAACCAGAAATTAAAATGAATGTTTATGAAAGCAAAAAAGTTATGTAAACTCAACTATTGCTATACCTTTTTACAAACAACAGAACAAAAATGCACTTAGTTGATTTGGGTCATCTTTCATAATTTAAATTAACATTTCCCTGAAACTCCCCTTCACTCTATTATAAATATTTGTATATATGAAATTTGTAATTCTTTTCATTAAATCTATTTACATGGATAAAATTAATAAAATCAACATTTTGGCATATAAACTATGTGTGATGTTTAAAGTTTTTAAGATTGTGTGTGGTGTGTGGATGTGTGTGCATATATGAGATTGAGAATATTTTCTCAGAGCAACTTTTATGTTTGACTATAGAACAACAGTTTTTGGCATTATGAGACTAGCTGAGAGGCCTTCTCTTCAATCCAAGAAAAGACAAAATTGAGCTATTATGACACCTTTCAAATGTTACCAGATTCATATACAGAGATGAAGAATGCAGATGAAATTTTTGATGAAGTAGCTTATCAGAGAGCTAATAAGGTAGCAGATGTAAAGTACAAAGAGTCAAGTTGCAGTTAATCAGATTTATTGCTTATATATATATATATACACACACACAGAGGAATCTAGTCAATTAACAGTCATCACTAAATTGGCAGCAGATAAGAATTAAGGGAATGCCAGATACTGATTATTCTGTCCAATGTTGTGAATTGCCCAATCTCCACCAGTCCTGTAAACTGTTCAAAGTATTTTTTTTTTCTATGAACAATCCCTTTTTATTAAAATCAAAGTGCTTAATCTGAATGGACGGACTGAGCTTAATCTATTTTTTGCTGACTGAAAAACCTGTACAGGAAGGAAGACACGTGAAATAAGCTTTCTTATTTCTGGGTTGTAATTTGGGAGAGAAAAAAAAAGGAAAATAGGTGATTAAAAAAAATACAAAAAGAAAAAAAAACCTTTAACTAGTGTTAAAACCAGCTAGGTTTACTAAACATGTTAATCTATTATTTTAACCTAAGCGTAACCTTTCATTTTAAAGGTTTTCAACAATTAAGTTCTTCTCTAGTTTTACCTTTCAACTATTTTGCTAGTTTTTTCTCTTGCAAACATGCGTAAAAAGGGAAAGAGATCACAAATGCAAATATTGTGGTATTTTGTAATTTGAGTCTTGAAATGTTCTGTAGTGTTAAGCAAAGTTTATTCTTGCTTGATACTAAATAAACTTTTGAAAGGGAAAAAAAAAAGAATTAAGGGAATTCAGGAGGGGCTGAACTTGGACTGCTTGTGGGTATGTAGACTCCAGGCTGGTTCCTCTCTTGACTCTGCTCCAGGCTCTGCCTCTCCTTCCCTTACAGCAGATGAAAAGGCAACGTACTATTGTCCTCTGTTCTCATACTGTACCATTTTTATAAAAATGAGTAAAGGAAGGTTAGGTGTACAGGAAACCCTGTTTATGCTTAAATTGAATACAAGTAATCCTCAACTTACAACAGTTCGTTTAGCGACCATTCAAACTTACAATGGAACTGAAAAAAGTGACATGACCATTCCCCACACTTATGATAGTTGCAGCATCCCCATGGTCATGCGATCAAAATTCAGACCTTGACAACTGACTCATATTTATGATGATGGAAGTGCTGCGGGGTCACGTGATCCCCTTTTGTAACCTTTTGACAAGCAAAGTCAATGGGGAAGCCAGATTCACTTAACATCCATGTTACTAACAACTACAGTCACTCACTTAACAACTATGGCAAGAAAGGTCATAAAATGGGGCAAAACTCACTTAGCAGATGTCTCATTTAGCAACATAAATTTTGGGCTCAATTGTGGTCATAAGTCGAGGACTACCTGTATTTTATTCAGCTATAGATTTATTTTAGCACTTGTGAATTTGCCACATTTAAAAAATGGAAGACACTACATGTTTCAGGTCCTATAACTCTAGAATAGTGATTTTTTACAATATCAAAATCCATGAATTCTGAAAATTTTGAACATATTACCTTATTATTTGAAACCAGTAGTAATATAAGAATTTTGTCAGTTTTTAATTGGTACTATACAATTAATAATTTTAAGAAGGTTCATATTAAGAAAACCAGCATGATGTATGAAAATTATATATTGCAAGAAGTCAGTGACAAAAAAGAAACGGGTATATCATTTATATAAAAATCTTATGCATTGATGGTAAAAATGCAAAATATTGATGATTCAGAACTTTCAATCAACAATAAGTAATACAGTTTTAAATAGCTGAAGAAGACATTAGGAGGCAATTTATATATACTAAAATCAATAGCTGAGTAGAAATGAAAATGTATTATCACTTTTGCCTCCTCTTCCATTCATGCTCTCCCCCCATTCATTCATTCATTCCACATTGTGGGAGGTGATATGACTACCTGAATACTGGTAGTATTCTAACATAATTGAAATATTTAAATTCCCGTTTAACCTTAGCAAGACAAATGCTTCGTTTCATGAGTGCTGGCGTTCATATGATTCTTTCATCATCCTGTTCATTTGGAAGTCATTGGAAAGCAGATGGTTGGATTCTGAAGGCATCTCTCTGTTGTTCAGTGGATTCTCCCATTCTCCCTTGGTCCATTTTTGGCTGGTATGGAAGTTTTACTTGCACACACCCACAAATACTCTTCTAGATGAAGTTTAAAACCAAGTTCAATTATATTCAGAAGAGGTAAATTAGGACTGCATTTCAGTATAAAATAGTAAAGATGTTCTTCAACACCTGGGTTAGGGTGTTCATAGCTGGAAGCATTGTTTGATTTTCCACTTTTATTCTCTGCTTTCTCGTAAGACGTAGGAAAGATTATGCTTTCCAAAAGAATCATAGTTATCATAGTAAGGGAGATGCATCCATTCTGGCTGATAAGTAGTAGTACTATACACATAACATTCCAGAATGTTTTTAATTGGTGATATTCCTTCAGCTGTGCTACTTTTATTTTCCCACTCAAGTACCTCAACTTTTGCTGGAGTACGCTGATACATGTTTGGGCATCCTTCAAATTCATCAAGGAATTGCAACATCTGATCATCAACAAAATATATTTCTCCAGTGACACGATGCCCGTTCCCCGGATTATTCAGCAAATAAGGAATATTGTATTTGCCTGCAATCACTAGTGGGTATTTCTCCACTGTAAGTCCTCTGCCCTGGAATTGGGATGTCCCATGAACCCCATTTATCATGTGTGGGTAGTTTGGCTGGCCTTTCTTTAGTGTTCCATAGACGAACACCCGGACCATTCTTCCAACTGAGGGGACTGAAAGAAAGCAAGAAAACATTAATTTTTGCATTTAAATCTCTGTCAGCAGTAAATACACTTGTTTAAAACAAGACAAAAGTATAAACTGCTATTTCTCACATTTGTGTTCAAATTTGCAAAAGCTTTTCACTACAGTGAAAGTAATGAGTAGCTGATTATTGTTGTGGATAGTAGACGACTTCCTAGTTGTAATAAGTTTGTCTATAATGTTCTAGTGCAATGATGGGGAACCTTTTAGAGACCGAATGCCCAAACTGCAACCCAAAACCCACTTATGTATCGTCGGGTGCCGGGTGGGCATGGCCCATTGGGTGGGCGTGGCCATTGGGTGGGTGTGGGTTAAGTGGTAACGGCAGGCTGGGTGGGACTAAAAAGTTCAATCAATCAGTTCCAACTTTGCGAGATCTTTTTTTTCCCCGTGATAAGTTGAAATTGATTGATCTTTTTTTTTTCACACGGCGGCATATGGGCTACCCCATAGAGCTTCTTGCATCCTTCTTTCTACAGAATGGTAGAACAGATCAGAAAATTATATATAGTGTTAAAGACTATATAGTCATGTATTGATGCAGTGTTTGGGTAAAAATGAAAACATGCAAAGTGTACAGAACTTGTTTAAAGTTCTTCCAAAAGACACTTTTTTTTAGGTATCAATAATTTCATGTTTGTTTATATATTTGATATGGAGTTGACTATGTATGAGCTTAGGAGCATATAACCCAGGGATGGCGAACCTTTTAGAGACTGAGTGCCCAAACTGCAACCCCAAACCCACTTCTGCATCGTCAGGTGCCGGGTGGGTGTGGCCCATTGGCTGGGTGTGGCCAATTGGGGGCATGGCCCATTGGGTGGGTGTGGCTGCGGTGGTAACGGCAGACTGGGTGGGACTAAAAAGTTCAATCAATCAATTCCAACTTTGCAAGATCTTTTTTTTCCTGCGAGAAGTTGAAATTGATTGAACCTTTTTTTTTTTTTTTGCATACGGCAGCGGAGACCTAAAGCGAAAAGGTTTTATAAAACCCAGCTGAAGGCCTAGGACTGGGGCGACGGCGCTCATGCCCAGAGAGAGGGCTCTGCATGCCACCTGTGGCACGTGTGCCATAGGTTCACCACCACGGTTCTAGTGGGTCCTGCAACTGTCCAAAAAAGTCTTATGAATTGGGTTAAGCAGTCATGTATGTGATTCCAGTGCTTTATGTACCTACAATCTGAGCTAATAAAGATCACTTCTCTCTCCCTGCAATCAGGTGCCCAGTTAAGAATGGTTTAGCACAGTGATGGCGAACTTTTAGAGACCGAGTGCCCAAAACCGCTCCCCACCCGTCTCTGCTCCGCCCTGCCTACTGGGCCACCCACCACCTCCACGGCCTGCCACAGATCACCCAGGCAACCCAGCCACACCATGGCGGCCATGCCCTCTGCCCATGCCCCGCAGCATTATCTGCACGCAACGGGGCACAAGGGCGGAGTTTTGTTCCCACTGCCCGGCTACCATGTCCTTGGCTGCATGCTTAGCGTGGGCCGCGCTCAAGGGTTACTCTCCTCCGGGGAGGAGGAGAGTAACCTGCTGGTGAGGAGGGGGTCGTGGGAGGAGGCAGGGCTGGTGCAACGGTGCATGTGCCCACAGAAAGGGCTCCGAATGCCGCGTCTGGCACACGTGCCATAGATTCGCCACCACTGGTTTAGCACATTCCTCCAAAGAAACCACTTATTACAAACAGTTATTAAAGATCTTTAAATTCCTAGTCTCTACAAATATTCATCAAAAGAATATTGACATCTCAGCAAAGATCAGGACAATTTGAAGAACTTATGTCTGCAGAATCATAACTTTGCCTTTACATAATTAAACAGAACAAAGGAAAAAAACAGAACAAGAAATTAAAAAGAAAAAAGAAAAATAACAAAAGAAATTGAGATATAAGAGCTTTTCATGCTTTTTTAAAATAAAGGTCTACTTAACAGTTATAATAAATAGTGAGTCAGTTTGGTCTAATAGGCACCAGGCTAGAAAACAGGAGACTGTGAGTTCAATTTCCACCTTAGGGATGAAAGCCAATTAGATGACTTTGGGCCAGTTGGTCTCATCCCAACTCACATTACAGGGAATGTGTATTTCTTGTGGGAAAAATAGGAGGAAGGAGTAGTATGTATGTTCGCCACCTTATTTATAAAAATAATAAAGATGGAATTTAAAAATAAATCTAAAAAAGTAAATTATCTGATTGTAATCCTCCAGACATAATTTACGTCTGTAAACAGTTTGTTCAGAGGTTGCAAGTCATATGAAATCTTCAGTCCTCTAGCCATTTGGGGTCATTTATCTTTTCAGTATTGAAGGATGAAGGGGAAGATAGACACGTGGGTTAGCTGTCTTTCTCTACACAAGAAAATGCATGGAATAACAGGGCTCCATATACTTTTCACATACAGAAGGTTAAGGGATGTAACATCTGGTGGCCTCTTGAGGTGCATTCTCATCCATTAGTGAAACAAGTTTTCTAATACTTCTAAGCATAGAGAGCACTTGCCTATCAAGTCGCCAAGAGTCAGACATGACTGAATGGTGAAATAACAATACTTCAAGTAAAGAATGCAAAATGTGTTTTGAGCAATGCTGAACCTAGTTCAGCCACTGAGATTATTTGTCAGTGAATTTAACAAGCCATATTGTTTTTCAAAGAGAAGAAAATGCCACTAACAGAAACAGGGGTTGACTTTCATCTTCTCTGTGGGTATATTATATCCCACGTTCAAAGCAGCTTTTCTAACACAAAAAGGAAAAGCCCTTATATTTATTAAAGTCACAAGATCCAGTAATATCCCCCTTTCTCTCCAGTGGTTTTGTTTAACTAAAGCTCAATATATCTGATGCTTTCAGGATTTTGCTCTGCCAAAAATTGCCCAGGAAAGACCGTATCTGCTTTTCTAGCACAACAATGTAATCTCTAATTATCAGGTGCAGAATAGCCTCTCTCAGACTAGTGTCCTCTAAATATGTTAGACTATAACCCATCCCATTAGCCCAGATGGCGGTGATAACTATAATAATTGTATTCAACCATCTGGATGCTAGTAGGGCAGTAAAAGGTAATGGAGATACTTTGAAACAGTGGTGTCCAACCTTGGCAACTTTAAGACTTGTGGATTTCAACTCCTAGAATTCCCAAGCCAATATGGTTAAGCCTGGCTGGCTGGGGAATTCTGCCAATTGAAGTCCACAGGACTTAAAAGTTGCCAAGATTGGGTAGCCCTGCTTTAAATGGTGGACAGTGCACCTGAACCTGAGCTTAATTACACTTCTTCCAAATCCTTTTTTTCTCTCTCATTCATTTGTTAGAACATGTGTTGTGTATTGCAATTGTCTGAACTAAAATTGGCCTTCTAATGATCCAAAATGCTTATAAGTGGCAAATGAAACAAATGAACCAAGCAAAATGAACAACCAACCAAACCCAGAACAATATTTTTAGGAAAAAAAAATCCAGCCTGAGTCTGTGGAGCTTCCTAATAAAAAAACTTGGTTTGCACATGTATGCACTTACGGTGGGTGTCAGTTAACAGCATGGAGAAGGTTATGCATATCTTGGGAAGGTGTTTATATACATATGCCAGTTTACGGCCATGTACCTGTGGGAGATTAATTTTTGTAACTATGCATATTGATAGACATGGAGATTACCTTAGTCCTGGATGTACCCTTAGGCTAAAACATAATTTTTTTGGCTCCGTTTAATGAATTCTTCTTCTTATTATTATTATTATTATTTATTGTATTTTTACCCCGCCCTTCTCCTTGCGGACTCAGGGCGGCTAACAGCCTAATAAAAACAAATACAAAAGTACAAAATACTATCATTAAAAACATAATTAAAAGGAAATATTAAATTGGCCTTTGTTATTTTAAAAATTATTTTAAAACCCAGCTAAAAATTACCCCTTAGGCCAGCCCTGCTAGCTGAAATAGCCATGTCTTGAGGGCGCAGCGGAAGGAAGGGAGATCCGGGATCACCCTGATCTCTGGGGGTAGTTCGTTCCAAAGGGTGGGAGCTCCCACCGAGAAGGCCCTCCTTTCAAGCTATAATTATGCCTTTCAAGCTATAATTCCCAGAAATCCTTAGGAAAACATATGAAAATTTATGCTATGTAAGACTTTAGAATACAGTGGTTATTAATGTAGGCCAGTGGTGGGACTCAAATATGTGAACAACCGCTTCTCTGTGTGGATGCTGCTTCCGGAAGTCCATTCTGGGCCTGGGCAACAAAAAATTAGCTACCAATTCTGCTGAAGTGGTGCGAACTGGCTGAATCCTACCACTGATGTAGGCCCAAGTTGACAATGACAAAGCCAGAGTAGCAAACAGCATAGAAGACCACATTATAGCAACTGCCTTTGATCAGGGTCTTCTCAACCTACATTCAACGTTTTTATTCATTCTGTTTCCCCCCCCCCTCAAATTTCATCTCATAAAAGAGTCTGGAAGTTTCTAGCAGAGTATGAAAGTGTCAACCTGTTACCTAGTTCAACTTCTATCTTAGCCATGAAGTCATTAACAGAGGGATATTCCCTTTAGTTCTAGTGATATTCTAGTGATAGTCTCACTAGTTGAAAACCAAGGCAATATAATGATGATGCCTTCTTTTCAAGACATTATAATGATTTGGTCTGTTTCATAAACATTTAGCTTATTTACATTTAACTTTCTTATTTTTTCTCTCATGAAATAGTTCAGGGGTGTTATATTCTTTTACAAAGATAAGAATTTAATGAGGGTTGTTTTTGTTTTGGAACAAAAAATATCATTATTTTCCAGATAGTGATTTGATTAAGAAATGCAGACCCTTCAGGAAGAAATTTTGCCCACTGAGGATTGAAAAAGAATCAGAGTTATATGTGCAATCAATTCCCACTGGGGACTCCTGTTCACTTTGAATTCTAAATGGGAGAATTGTAAAACAAATTGTTCACAATCAAGAGGTCATTTGCCAGAGCAAGT